AAGAGAAATCTCAGTGACAGTTCCAAATTTTGAAAATTTCTTGTATACCACTTTGACTGGAGCCTACCGGATAGTTATGTCTTGCTTAAATACTTCTCGAGATACCTTTCGAGAAAAAATTTTAAAATCTTCCTAACACTGCTAAAGTAATGCTGTTTTGTGCTATTAAAACAAAACTTTCTTTTTGGGCTTGGTACCAGCGCGATGCTAGATTGCACTTATTGCAGTACCAGTTTTGGATTTTTTAAGGCGGGTCAAAAACTTAGAACTGCCTCCATACACCTCTAAGTTCCTCTGTTAAGTTCTATTTTTTCTATAAATTCAAGCTTACTTAGGTCTGCTGGTACTGTCGAGGACAAAAAGCAAGTGAACATGTTTATACAACCTCTTGAAGAGGTTGTCTTTCTCTTCGTTTGCCGCCCGAGGCAATATCCCTTCCCTCCTCTTCTCCTGAGGTCAGCACTGAATTATTTAAACTAGGACGAGTCATTTGGCCTAGTGAAGGATGCAATGGGCAATGTTTCTTGATTCATAATCAAAGGATACTGAAATCGTTGGTCTACTACGAAAAGTGCCAGAAACTGGAGGAGAAAAAAGTCTAGTTAACGGAAGCAGAAGATAGGAGATGATCAAGGGACAGAAAAATCAACAGCATGATGTTGGGGTAGAAAATCACTAAGCTCGGACTATCAGCATGAGATTCCGTACAAGTGTATTGCTGGAATGCGCCCAAACACCGCGCGTAGTTATGCCAAGCCCCTCGATTCTGAACTGCATACCTCCAACTAGTTGCTCACCATCCGCTCAAATAAGCGCGCCACTTCTTTGGGTTATGTCTAAGTGGTAAGAAAATTCATTCATTATTTTACAAATATTTCAAGTATTTTCTAGGTTTTTCTTCGACGATACTATAATTGCTGACCCTTTTGACGCGAAGTAAAAATGATGAGCGCATCATCATTCGTTCGGATGATGTAGCATAAGTGCCAAGTAGTTGAGCGGCGCACCAAAAAGCAGCACACTTTGTTCCTGATTCGTGTCAGCACTTTACCGCGCTCCATGAACTCACAATGATCCTCCGACCACAGTTCAACTGCCGGTAAGTCAGTGGGCTGAAAATTTTCGGTATTAAAAGTATGGTTTTGAAGCATGTTGACAGACGAGCAGCGACTAATGCTAAATTAGGAGATAACCATTTTTTTCCGCTCGAGTACTTCGGCTGCCAAGCAACGTACAAAGGAAAGTACACCCTCTTTCTGGTCCCACGAACAGTCAGATGTGTAAATTTTAGAAAATTTGAACCCCGATTCATCACAATATACTACTTGTCAAGAAAATGGCAAGGCAGCACAGGTCATTTAGCGAAGCTATATTACCTCCCCTAAATGCTTGATAGCATGTCGACGATGCTCCTGGAAGAACAAATACTGCAATTCACTGCCGGGTGTAAAAGCACCAAATTGTTGCGCGGTTGCTTTTTATCTCCGCGAGCAGTGGTGAAAGAAAAATTTCCCCCATGTTTAGTTTAGTAAAACTCACCGTCCTCAGATTCTTGCTGAACTCCACCGACCTTCGAACTTCCTCAGCAGCCATGTCTTCCAGGATCCGT